TTCCTGAAATATCTGCTCTTCTTATTTGACCAGATGAAGTGAAAGGCAGACCTCACGAACAAAAGTTAAATCTTTAATTAAATCTCTAATCTAATCTTTAATTAATTCTAATCTTTAGTTAAATCTCGCTATTTTTCACACGTTTATTGTTATTAAAATAGGAAAGAATTTATGGCCTTTTACTGAATCGAAAACTTCAGGGCGGGGAGAGATTTAGATGTGCAATGTTGAAAAGCGCAAAACGTGCTTGAAAGATTCATCAATCAACGAAATTATCGCCCTTCGTAGTTCTTAAAAATGTTTGTAAAGCTTCTTTGCCTCTAATCCATGTTTTTTTCATCAATTTTCTGCCTATTGTCATATTCAATCTTGAAGAAATGTAAAATGGTTTCCGTGTTTACATAGTCTGATGTAAACACGCGGGAGGTTGGGAGAACACGAGATAAGCGTAGGAAACCACGACGCGAAGCGTTATCTTGTAGACAGGTTGTGAGAAAAGACAAACTTGTCAGCCGAGGGTATTCTGATATCACACAAAATTCTCTTGTCGAATTTATTGAGGAATGTATGGCAGTCGGTGGGGAGAATTACTAATTGGATCTTTGAAGTCCGAAGGGTGAAGTCGCTTGGCCATGCCCTTCCTACAACAAGGCACAGAAGTGTGAGGTTCCTATTGATTATATGTCACTTTCTTTTCTTATTTTTGCTCTCTTCAGTCGAGTTTTCTCCAGATTGCATTAGACGATGGGATAGTTCTTTTCCCTGATAATGGCTGTGTCTTCCTGAAATATCTGCTCTTCTTCAAATGATTTGACCAGATGAAGAGAAAGGCAGACCTCACGAACAAAAGTTAAATCTATTTTAGACTCGTTGAAGTTTCCTTTTCTGAAGACAATTTTCCTATATGTCTGACTGCTCATGGTGTATTAGTCAATTCGAATTCTGTGCTTACCCCCTTTCCTCTGTATTTGAGGGCTAACGATGCTGTTACACCGTGGAGTGTTTCCGCCACTTGTTAAGAAATTTACCTTGGAAAATGAATGATTCGACTCTAGTTTCCGCTGGCATACAGCATTTGGATGATAAGTAACACATTCACTTCAGTATATATATTTTCTTAGCTTTAAGGCTTGTGACCAGTATACGCCCATCTAGTGCTGTAACAATTTGAAATGGACTTTGTAAAGGAACGGTAGTTTTGCCTGTAAAGCGATCGTCCAAAGAAAATTGCTGAACTCTGTTATTCAAATAGTCACAGACAAGAAGGTTATCAGAGCCGCCTAAGCACATGCCACGGGGTGAAGTGAACTGTCCGTCTTGATTCCCTTTTTCGCCAAACTTGTACAGGAAAGTCTTAGACGCATCAAATGCTTTTATGACGTGATTGTCTCTTTCAGTTACCAGGAAAATGTTTTTGTAAGGAATGCAGCTGTATGGTGTGCTGAGTTTCTCTGGACCACTGTCTCCAATTGTGAATAGAGCTTCGCCCTCTTTTGACATTACTTGAACTCTATTGTTATGGAATTCACTGAAAACAATACGTTCTGTATCATCAAGGCAGATACTAAGTGGAGTCTTGAAGTGTCCTTTTCTCACACCTTTTTTTCCAAAGGTTTTTACAACAGTTCCTGTCTGGATATTTATATGTTGTATTCTATTATTTGATTGATCTGCAATAAGAATTTCGTTGTTGTTTAAAAATGACACCCCATTTGGATTTTTGAATTGTCCAGGATGTGTTCCTTCTTTTCCAAATTGTTTTAAACAGTTCCCTTCTTTATCGAATACAAAAACACAGTCTCTGTGATAATCTACAACAGCTATGTCGCCTTGCCTGTTTACAGCGATTCCATTGGGTCCCTTAAACTCCTGCCCTTGGTTGAACTTCAAGTCCAATTCGCCGACTACGACAAGTTGACGTTCTTTCACTTTCAAAGTGAACGGAGAGGTGGAAAGCTTTTCGCCATTAACCTTCACCTTAAGGCTGTAGGTGCCGGGCATCTTAGGTGTAAACTTCAGTCTAAGATTGCAGTCCTCTCTTTGTTGAACAGTCACGTTTGTGACATCTTCGGTGGGTTTAATTAGCCATTCGACTTGCTCTCTTAGATCGGCCTGGTTACAAATCTCTCCTTCTGCTGTTTTTAGACACAACGTAAACTCTGCTTCTACACCAGCTTGGAAAGTTTGATCCAGTCCTTCTAGAGTTGATTTAGCTGCGTTTGCCGCATCATCGTAGAGTTGAATAAAACCCAGTTTCAAGTCGTGTTGAGATGCCGCGGTAAATTTGACAAATGTTGTCGGATGATGCCTTGAAATCTCAACTCCACGAAGCTCTTGGAATTTCTGCTTCAAAGCTGTCTTGGTCTGTATAATATCCAAGGGTGAGCTTCTCTGAACGAGATTTTCCGCAAACTCAGCCGCTTGGTTCATTTGATTTACCAGAGATTCCAGTTCTTCTTTAGCCGAGTTAATTAGCTCTATTCTCTTTCTACGTGTCATTTCTAAGGACTCTAACAACTGTTGCTCTTTTTGTCGCGTCTTCGTGATCACGTGTTGAGCTGCCTCAGACACTTCTTGTTTAGCGATTGCGATGAACATTTCCACATCCTCAGAGGTTATCTCAAGTTTTCCTATCTCTTCTCGAAACAAGTTTACCTTTTCCTTGATGGTGTCGACGTTCAACATGATGTGTTTCTTATCCTCCTCCACTGCTTTTTCAATAACGTCGAACTCATGGCCTCGGTGATCTTCAACTAAGCAAACAGGACAAATACATGCTTCGTCGGAAGAGCAGAAATATCGTAGTCTTTCGTTCTTGTGTTGCGAGCAAAATGGCGGCCTCAGCAAGTCCTCGCGATGTTCCATTTCAAGGAGACCTAACAAACTATTATGGATGAAGCTGGTGGACAAACGGTCGAAGCGGTTGCCTTTAGGTAAATCGATTTCCGCCTGACACTCAGGGCATCTGAATTTGCCTTGTCCGTGGGTGTTTCTTGCATGTTTCTTCAAACACTTGCAACAAAAAGTGTGGAAGCACGATAATATTTTGGGGTCTGTGTAAGTATCGAGACAAATTGAACATGTGACTTGTTTCTTGAGGTTTTCCACGAGAGGTTCCATTATGATCGCCTTGAAGTACAAATTAATGAAACGACGAATTGTGAAATCTAAGATTTAATTTTTGATTCCGAGAAAACAGAGTACATGACAGCTGAGTTTTTGTGACCAATCAGATTCAAGGACGTAGTTGACCCTTTTTGTAACGTTATATCAGTGTTAATTCCTCGCTTATGATGAATAGACTAAGTCGGTCAACCGAAAAACCGTGGCACGCTCCTTATAAATGTTACCACATGCGGGTTAAATTACTGAATGCTGATTGGCTGAGACAGAGGGTATTTTTTTTAAATCACGAGGGCAAAGAGCATGATCAGTTGATGCTGATTGAGCCTTACTACTGTTTGCGGCATTGATATATTGATTGCAATTTGACTGAATGAAGCAGTGTAACGTCATTAACTACATTCCGCCATAGATGCGGGATGTTACTTCCCAGCAGTTCAGCCACGCACATCGTTCTTCTCCACCTAGCTAAAAAAAAAAAAAAAAAAAAAAGAAAACAACAACAACAACAACAAAAACACGCCGCTACGTGCATGGTCAAGCTAAACGAGGCGCGTAAAGACTTATTGGATAGGCTAACGCCGAAACGGTCTGTCACGTTCAAGAACAAAGGTCGTTTTGGGTCTACCCTCACCCGGACGATCATTTAACACAATCGATTCACAACAAGGCAACAGATATGTATTTTGCGGTTGGATTGTCCGTCTTAGTCTTAAACTGTAATCGATGCTGGTGGCTTTACATAGGGGTAGACAATACTTGAAAAAACCGATGATTATCTTTTATCTTGATTTTTAGAGTAAAACTTGATATGCATATATGGCTTCTTACGTTGAAAATAAGTTAGGGCCTGTTTACATGGAGGTGGGGAACCCCAGGTAGGTGAGGTAACCCACCTAGGTGGGGTAACTCGCCTGTCAATATAATTTCTTATTTTATCTTGATCACGTTTACAAGATAGGTGGGGTGACCCGCCTAGGCGGGTTGCCCGGTCTGCCAGGTAGGGTAACCCTGTGACAATTTGCCATTTAAACGTCTCAAGGTGGGGTAACCCGCCTAGCCGGGGCTGTGTTCATGGCAAAAAGCTCAAAGGCGAAACATGTGTGTTTTAAGACTTTGTACATTTCCTAGCCGTCTCATGGCAGAAATCACCAGAAACTGCAACGGACACACTCGTAACCTGACACCGCGTAACACAACGCGTGACCCTTTCATGAATAAATACATATTGTCCGAGAATTAATCTTTCTTCTTATTCGAGATGTGAGCTTGGAACGCCTCTGCTCTAACTCCTTAATTGCAAGCGCAACAACAACCTCAAGAAACCTCACCCCAGCACCCGGGGTCGTAAGATTGCATGTAAACACGTTTTATTTTTCGACCACGGCTAGGCGGGTTACATGAAATTTATAAGTGAGAAAGAAGACGAAACTGGCAAAGGAACTTTTCAGTATGAAAGCTTTATCCAAAACAGTTCTTGATTTTCTTTTAGAAGCGTAAAACGTGCGAATTTCTTGCGTGTACGAAACACACGAAATAGAATTCATCATGCTTAGATCGTAGTTTACTTGACTTCACGGCCACAGATGGCGAGGTAATCATCTTGCGAAATAACTCTCATGGCGAAATTACAAGAGTTTGTATGCGAATATTTACGACCACTTAAAGGAATAAAAAAATAAGTCAAATTCTCAATAAAAATACCTTACCTTACATCCACAGTACATCGCTTGTTATCTGACCGCTTACTACCAGAAATGGATAACTCGCTAAAATGGGTGCTTTTCAACATGGTAAGCGGTCAGATAACAAGCGATGTACTTTGGAAGTAAGGTGAGGCCATTTATCTTACATTTATTGTTCCTTAGAGCGGTCGTAAATATTCCCATACAAACTCTTATGGTTTTGCCATGACTATTATTTCGCAAGGTGATCATCTCACAGCTGGAGCTTAGGCCACCTGTGCACGGTCAGAAAATTGCGCAGCCTTATGTTGAAAATTCTGAAAGTTCT